CATTTCATTTAGAAAACAAGGAAAGTAAGCAAATCTGGAAATCCCCACTGAGTCTCAAATTCAAACAAGACTCAAAACAAATGTGTGAAACTTGCCAATAAAAAAAATATAAGGGATGTTTCATCCTTAATGTAAACACTGAAGAGTTAATTAGACTGTATGAAGCAGCAAGGATGAAAAAGAATTCAGCTCTGTCACTGAAGATGGAATGTAAACTAGCAGTTTGCTCCTTTGAATCTGTTAAAAAATCACATATGTAATCTAACAAACTGCTGCAAGAGTCTAGAGAACTGCCAGCTTTCTTTTTAGAGCTCCTTTTTCTTGAAACTCTTTCCCTTCACAAAGTAAGGAAGTGTGCACATGCTATGGACCTCCCAGCTTAGAAATCTTACGCACACACTGTAATTGGAAAAACTGAGATTTTTTTTTTTGCTAGATTCTGATCCTGCAAGCATTCACTTGCTTAATGTTAAGCACCTATTTACCATGAACTGTTCAAGCATTCAAGTGCCAGTAACTTCACAGAATCTTTGCTGCAAGATTTTCAAAGAAACAGTTGTTTCATCCCAAAATACATTTGCATGTTCAGGTCTTCCTCATTTCCCAGTGAAGTGAGTTAAAGACCCCCACCACGTCAGCTGGACAGAACCACAGAAACAAGTGAAGCTGAGAGTGTAAACACAGCAGGAACTAGAAGCATGATAACCGTGTCAAGAGTTCACTGAGTTTCCTCAGCCAACTTATGGAAAGGCTGCACTGCATATAATCTTCTAAATCGTACATGGTTATATATCATATTTACATATATTACTATATATATGGAAAGTTCTGGAAGAAAGTTCAAATTATCATAAACCAGATGCCTACAGTTAAACAATATACTCACAAGTCATTCACTATCTAGTTGCATCAGTCAGGTAGCAGAGGTGAGTACTAACCTGGAACACTAACACCGCTCTCTTGTGCAATCTGCTATTCTGGAGATTGGGATTAAATTATATAGCAACAAGAACTGCAGTAAAATCAAGTCATTATACATTAATCTCAACACTAAAACATATTCACTTACTACGATAGTTTATGCACCACTTCATTATCTCCCTTAAATATTTACTGCCCACTGAAATACAAAGTTTGTTCTTTACCTCTGATGGGCCCCATGGATATCCACCATTGCTGAAAGCCAAAAACAGACCTCTGGCAAGAGTGCTCAATGGCTCTCAGCAGCATCTGCACCAAGTGTGCATATGCGCGTACACACGTGCACTTCCATGAATCTCCGTAGTAATGTCTAGGTATCGTTACTGGACTGCAAACAACACTTACATTGCACAGTCCACCCCACAATAACTGAGAAACAAGTGGCTATGACCAACGGCACATTTGCGAAGCAGAAGTGGTGTGTGGCTGTGTGCGGCCTTTCATCTCACTGAACCTTTCTATCACAGTAAAACGCAGCAGAAACTGTTTCTCAAAAAGAAATCAACATAATTTGCCTAGACTAAATGCATGGTTCAATTTCAGCATAAATACTAGTATACAGTTCTGATAAAAAATAACCACAGAGAGTGGAGAATTTTCCTCTCACCAGGAAGAAAAGCCACTGCTTTTTTTTTTTTTCCCCACTCTTAAAAAAAAAGCCCAACCCAACCCCTTTTTCCCCATTTTGTCTCTAGCATGCAAGTTAGATGCCAATCAAATCCTAGATTTCATACACCCCTACAGTTTATCATCTTCATACAAGTACATATAGTACACACATATCTCCTTTAAGTGTCATACATAGGGAAAAAAATCACAAGTTAAATTATATAACAAAATAAATAAGTTTATTCCCACCTCATCCCTTCCACTGTTATCTATATCATGACCTAAAGAGAAAGTCAAAATTAGACAGGTCTTTGGACAAAAATATATGTTGAAACTGGCTCAGAGAACAAAATTACTTAGAATGGTCTGCAGATCTCTTATATTCAAACTTCATAAATAGCAAGCACAATTTTAAAAATGTCTATATACACTGGTACACATGGCCGTGTGCACCAAATTCAGAATTAAGAGCCTAGAAAAAGTGTAGCTATTGAGGAAAGCTTCTCACCATTTCTTTTGTAGATATTTAAAGATCCTCCCCCCGTCATTTAACCTCTAAAATAGGCAAGGGACTATAAAAGACATGTTTGCATTTAAAAATAAAGTAGAAGAAAACAAAAAGTTAGAAATCTGGGGGCAGAGAGAGGGAGGCAGCTGTAAAAAAATGCCTCCCAAATTACTTAGAGTAAGTAATGCAAGTGTAACGTTTCAGCAAGTCACAGAGTACCTTTCAGGGTCCTACTATCATGAAGAACTGATGACAGAGGAGAATTAAAAGGTGTGTATTTGGATAGTCCATTTTACAACAGCAGCATTTAGTGAGTCTTCATAAGCAGGTAATTCTTCCTGAGGGCAAAACTATCCTTTTGGTATTCTACTTTCTCTACAGACACAAACCATTAATACTGACCTCAGTGCCTGTGGGAAAATAGGGCAAGAAAAACAAAGTCACATGCAGGATACCCAAGAGAACACTTGCACTCTATACTTCTGTTTGGTAAAGACATCTTTCATTCAGCAACATTTAATTTACTCAGTTTGTCAAATTATAGCCACAAAAATAAAAGTCATTATGAAGCATGAAGCAGAGTCAATCTTCTTTGTGAATCCTGCTGTGAGCAATGCTGCTGTTGTTCTCCTGTTTTGCATACCGAACTGCAATAAGTTTTGCTTGTAAAAAGATGCAACCAAAATAGTCCCATAGATGTATTTTGCCCTTTCCCAAAATACAGGAAAATGGTGAGGAGAAAAGGAAAAAGGGAGGGAGGAGAGAGACACACTGTGTTTGTGTCTGTGAAGGAGAGAGAGACACACAGAAATGCAGCACTAGAGAGACAAGCACTAATGAGGAAAAACATCCTCCATGCACATTGTGATGGTGAGGTGTCAGCTTTAGATGTAAACTGGTTGTTCTTGCGCAGTCAACAATCTGTACATGGCAGCTGGCATAGTCTTCATATGAATCTAGAGGCAATACGACAAGTTAATCAATGTTCCTAACATGCATACTACAACAGAGCATTCGTGAAAGAACTAGCTACGGTCATACAGGACAGAAGGGAAAGGTAAAACCTGAGAGTTTTCATACCCTTATTAAAGTACTGCAAGCAGTGATTTTATGAAACAGTATGTTTAGTATCAATGCACCATCTAAAGTTGTGAACACTTCATATTTTCAGATAAGGGTTCTTCTAAAACATAGGAGAACTATGGGTAAATAATAAAAGAAATGGTATGCTGGCTTGCTCTCACTTCCATTACTTAGGTCTGAATAGCAAGAGGCTAATAGAGGTAGAATCACAGAATTATGGAACAGTTTGAGTTGAAATGGTCCTTTGAAGATTTAAGTCCAACCTGGCCTTGAACACTTCTAGGGATGAGGCATCCACAGCTTCTCTGGGCAACCTGTTCCAGTGCCTCACCACCCTCACAGTAAAGAATTTCATCCTAATATCTAAACTAAATCTACTCTCTTTCAGCTTAAAACTGTCACTACAGGCCCTGGTAAAAAGTCTGCCTCCATCTTTCTTACAAGCCTCCTTTAAATATTGAAAGGCTGCAGTAAGGTCTCCCTGGACCCTTCTCTTCTCCAGACTGAACAACCCCAACTCTCTCAGCCTCAGTCCTCATAGGAGAGGTGCTCCAGCCCTCTGATCACCTTTGTGGCCCTTCTCTGGACCGTCTCCAACAGGTCCATGGCTTGCTTGTATGGGCGACCCCAGAGCTGGACACAGTACTCCAGGCGGGGTCTCATGAGAGCGGAGCAGAGGGGCAGAATCACCTCCCTCGACCTGCTGGTCACGCTGCTTTTGATGCAGCCCAGGATATGACTGGCTTTCTGGGCTGCAAGTGCACATCGCTGGCTCATGTCCAATTTTTCATCCACCACCCAACTCCTTTTCCATAGGGCTGCTCTCAATCCATCCATCTTGCAGTCTGTACTGATGTTGGAGATTGCCCCAACCCATGTGCGGGACCTTACCCTTGGCCATGTTGAACTCCACAAAGGTCACATGGGCCCTCTTTTCAAGCCTGTCAAGGTCCCTTTAATGGCATCCCTTTCCTTGAGCTTATCAATTACACCTCTGAGCTTAGTGTCATCCACAAACTTGCTGAAGGTGCACTCAGTCCCACTTGTCTACATAGTTGGTGAAGATATTAAAAAGTATTGGTTCCAATATGGTCCCTTGAGAGACACCACTTTTTACTGGTTTCCACGTTGTTACTGGTAGCAGTGATGAATTATATTGCTTAGACACATTGCCTGCTCTTACCTCACCAACAGCATTTGAGAGAATGTGAACAATTTTCTCATGGGGTGTCGCTACAACACTCTGTCCATTGATTTCAATGATCCGATGGCCGACACGCACACCTCCTCGCTCTGCTATACCTCCTCTCATAAGGCTACAGATCTGGAAAAGAAAGGACAAATTTATCAGAGTCCAGATAAGGAACAGAGGCTTTAGATTATCCATTTTTGCCTGTAAACTGTAAATCAGCATTTAAACACAGAGGCTTGCAACAAATTCTAAAATGTAATAGATCACTCATTCAAAGTAAAATTTGTTAGTGACAAATAACTACTGGATATTCTCTTCCAAGAACAGAACAAACTATCAGAAAAGGCTGTGTTGTACATTGCATGTGCTGTGGTTTGGAAATTTAAAAGTGTATGAAGGACCACAGTTTAACAATGTTCAAAGTTGTAAGATGTCTTACAACAAAAAAGGACAGGTTTCTTCTTCTGAGATCATGCAATGGCTTGGTTAGAGACATGAATGATGCAGACTGAAAGCAGCCTCTGCTACACATTTTTGTTTCTCTAACCTAAAACAGCTTTCCTGTTCCTCTGGCTGACTTTAAAGTTGTGAACTAAGTAGAGTCAAAGACAAAAAATAACTCTGTTTAAGTCTAAGATATAAAAGCGGAGTTAACACATGTGCAAAGTCATGCCTGCTGTAAGGAAGAAAACGGCAGCTTCCCTCTTCCCACACTTAAACTTACCCACAAATAGACAAGAAGGCTCATGCATATTAAAGCTTAACCAGAGAGTGTGGAAGCTACTTACAATCCCATTCTGCACACTGAAACCCAACTGGTATCTGAGGTCTGGTCTCCTGATCAAGACTGTGGTTACTGGAGGACACCTAACTATGTTCAGTTTAACCCGGGCCTGGTTCTTCAAACCCTGCAAAAAGAAATCACCATGAAAAATGCTGGCAAAGACAGATCAAAACATTTAACATAAGCACTTTGGGGGTGTGTGTGTGGGAGAAGTGTTAAAATATTGACATGGGAACAGCCCTGAATAAACAGCTCTTAGTATACATTGTAACAGAATCTGATCGCTGAACGCCAGGCACAAGCATCAGAATATTCAGTGAAATGAGTGATAAAACATCAATTTTTTTCTTGCCAAGAGGCCGATACAGTTATTTTAAGAAAATTTGCTTCCTGTCAGCAATTTCCTCATTTGATAAAACAAATCACATGTAAAAAGAATAATAAACAGGTTTATACAGCTAACCAAAAAAGCCAATGACTGTGCATGGGAAATAAAATTTTAAATAAATAGCTAAGCTACAAATAAGTGGCTTCCTTGCAGAAAATATTCAATTCTGTCAAGCAAACAGCAGGTCCTGCTCATATCATGCTTGTATAAGCAGTGCTCCTAACTTCCGTTCCTTCTCCTTTCTAAATGAGTTAAATCACATTCATCATTAACTCCTTGCTACCGAAACTCTGAAGGAGGAAAATTTATTTTTACTGTCAGGGTGGTAAAATACTGGAATAGATTACCCAGTGAGGTTGTGGAGTATCCAACCTTGGAGTTATTTAAAGCCTAGTGGGCACAGCCCTAAGCAACCTGCTCTACTTTGAACCAAAGTGTTGGTCAGACCAGCTTTAGCAGTGACTGCCAGCCTCAGAGACTCTGTGATCGTGTGGCTCCATGAAAACTCAAATGTAAAAATGCAGATAACTGCAATCTGACCCCTTGTACAACTTCAAGTATTCAGAGCTCTTAGAGACTGTGAAGATATTTTTCTGAAATGCTTCATTCACACAAAGGATGAGCATAAATAAATACATAAATAAAATCCACCTCAAGAAAGAAATGCCTTATAAAGAATACAGCAACTTCAACCTTAGTTACTACAGCACCTACCCACTCCAGTACCTACTTCTGAATGCCTTTTATATGTACAATTGAAATCTGGGTCCCACTGCAACTAACAGGTGTCCGACACTGACTTCAAAAGGTTAATTAAAAAAAATAATGCTACTGTAGCTAAGGTAATACACTGAAGGCTCTACATCCAGTTTACCGCTGCTGATTCTGTTCAGCCAAACTCCTGTTTCAGCAGAGACTTGAATATCTAAACCGGCACCCTGCCAGGGTGAACTGCCTTAGAGTCTGTTTTCTTGTCAGTGCCTTGACCCGGATGCAGTCATCACAGGGGAAACAGCTGCCCTCACTTCCACAGTGTTGAGCTCAGCTTGGCTAATTATTGAGAGCGGCTCCAAGCGAACAGGTGCATGAACACAAAATGACAAAGCCCCTGTCTGTGGGAACTGCCTCTGCTCTGCTCTCAGCAGAAAGAAGGTCCGAACTCCGTCTCTTCCATGACTATGGGCTCCTCCACTTTGGTGAGAGGTTAGCAGCGCACCACACATGCTCAAGGGCCATTCATCTTCTATATGAAGGTCTTCACAATGACACGCATAAGAGAAGACAGGGACTAACTGACCTGTACTAAGCTGTGGGTACAATGTTTACTGAAAAGTCTGAGTGGCTTTTGCCTCAGCCAGGAGGACAGGAGTCATGCAGAGTACTGGAGTTGTCCATTTCTATGAGGAATTTAGGTGTCTAACTTCAGTCATCTGAGTTCATTCAGGTTACATGCCCTCAAAAGAGTGGATATCACAGTGCTCTTACTTCCCTGGTGAATGTGTAAGTTGTTTATATAGATTGCTTGCAAAAAAAGTAATGTGGTTCCAAACAAATAATTCTTCTAATTTTACAGAAAGTGCATGTATTTCAAAAGTGGTTAATTTTCTGTATTATGCAGATTGGTAATATACACTGATCAGAAACAAAACAATTGTGTCATTTGACCAACTTATTTGCTTATCCAGTCCCTGAGTCTGCTTCTGATAGTAGCCAGCACCAGATACTTCGGTAAAAAAAACAAGTAGCATAATACAATGAGGGAATAACCACCACATATGGAAAGCTTCTTCCAAGCTCTGTCAGTTTGCAATTGGTTTATGGTCAATTAGTAGCAGAGATTACATCCATAATACTGAAATTATCTTATTTGAAGTTCTTGCAAGATATTCTTCTCATCTACATAATATTGTCATCTGTTCACAGGAGTCCTTACAGCATGCTGAAGAAATCTGAAATCCTGAGGTATTTCCACCACATTTAAATGTGTGCTTAGATCATTCAGTGACATATATACTTGTAACCAGAAGTGCTATATGAACAGTACGGTTCTGAAGACCTGCAAATGTACAGACTATCTTCTCTTTAGAAAGACAATGGCTGGCAGTTCCTATGGCAACAGCAGTATCAGTGAGGAAAAGGTCTGCAGAAGCTGGAAACAGCAAAGCTGGTTGTTTCTCTTTGGAGAAAGTACACATGAGCATAATGAAACTCCACCTGAAAAGCCTCTGAATTAGAGAAGCATAACAGTTTTAGAAATAAAACTGATGTGGCATAGGAAACAAGTATGGTTAACATGAAAAGCCTAAATTTGCAGGAAGTTTTGTTCCAGTGCAAGTGGCACAAAGATATTTAATATGACTTTTTTTCCTTCTGTCACAAATGTAACTGTTTTTGCCATGTCTTTAGCATGCTACACTTCCAGGCTATTTCTACTCACTGAATCTAAAATGGCTGGTTCACTGACTTATGCATCTATTACACAACAGAACTCAGCGTTAACATTTTTGGAAAACAGAATGGGAAGTCTTTATAGCATACATTTTAGTTCAAGTATAAAGAAACTAATCCGTGGACACAGACACAAAAAAATTAGTTTGTAATTTTTTTTTTTACTTTGTAAATGAAAAATTTACTTTTTAATTTAAAAAAGTACAAAATGCAGAAAAAACATATCACATAATACTACTTGTTACTAGAAAGTTGCCCAAATAAATAAGTTTAACAGGCATATTCCTAGAAATCAGAGGAGGATTTCTGTGTAGTACACCACCAGCATTAGATTATCTGTCTACATGTTATGATCTGCAGGAGCTCTGTGGAGCTGTTTCGATAAAAGTGTCCATATAGCTTCATCTCAAACATTCCCTAGCAATGCATCTTTCCAGCTTTTGAAACTCTGATGTTTAAATACCTATTCCCATGTATGCTACAGCTACCCCAGACACCATTCAGTTCAAGTTGACCTTGACTGCATGCTTTTCTGACAACTAGAAGAAAGCTCTTCTAATTAAAATATCCCTTTTAGCCAAGTGAAGAGAAGCATCACACTTTCAAATAATTCAGGCAAAATTTCTACAGAGGGTAAGTATGCCTTTAGTTCAAAGTTCAAGAGTTTTAAAAGTTGTTACCAACAATAAGAAAAAAGCATCAGCTCTAGTTCAGCCAGATAGGAGGCTTTCAAACAGCTAATATAGCTTAGGATAATATTAGGCATCTATGCCTCCATTTGTCACACAAAATTTTAAGCATCTTCAGATGTCTATCTGGTAATATCTTCCTTCTTAACAAAATAGTCTCTTATGGAGTGAATTTCTGCAGAGCCTTTGTCTATACAAGTAAATGGCACAGGTCACTTTCTGGGAGTCAGAAAATCGGTGTAGTGTAATTCCCACTGTAGTTTAAAGATCATGAAATGGAGTGCTATGTAAACATTTCTTAAGAGTTTTCTTAAGAGTTTTATGCTTTCTGCTCACCTATTATGTAATCCTTTTAAAAGGTGTAACTTCCAGAAACATTCTCCATACCTTTATAATGCTCTGACACGTTGAGAGTGGTAAACCAACCAAACTGGTCCCATTGATTGACATGATCTGGTCCCCTATGTTCAGTTTCCCAGACTTCTCTGCTGGTCCTCCATGCATCATGTTGGCTATGATAACTGTAGGCAAAATGGATCCCCAGCCAGACTCCACAATCACTACACCTAGGATTTCTCCCTTTTGCTTTTCAATGTAAACCTGTATCATAAGAAAAAGTGTTTCAAAAAAATGCTTCTTCACACCTATGGAACTGATGAACACCCACCTTCCCAGACATTCATATAACCAACCAACGCATACCTCTCCTTATTTGCAACCTGCGTTTATAATTCAAAGGCAAAAACCCCCAGGGCACATATTTTACTACATTTGTATTCAAACATGAAATAATCAATGTTACACAATACAGATTTGGCTTAGTGCGAAACACCCCTCACAAGTTATTTCTGTATATGAGGAAAGGAAATGGGAGTGGAAGAAACCCTGGTGCCATGGGCTTCAGTAGAAAAAACTAAACTGGAAGAGATTGCAAGAGTTTATGACTGTGGATTGGAAAACCACTACCTGTGTGTTGCAGTGGTGCACTGGTTCATCTTTATTAACCAAGCTGCAAATCCTTTCAGCAAATACAATCCTTTGAAATCTGGAATCAGCCATGCCTTCCAAACACTCTATAAATTTATATTGTTTACTGCAATCTGTTAAACTGAATTACTCTGTTAATCTACTTTAAATGCATTTCATTAACATACAATGTCAAACATGTCTGAGAATTGTTTGGTAAATACCAAATTGGTAAATAATTTCACTGCTGATAAATTTTGGGTTCACTTTTTGCCTTTGAAACAGCACTGATGACAGGGTGTCCTACTTGGGAGGATATTCTAGGCTCACTGAGGTCACTTATAGGAAATACTAATGGTTTTCCATTAATGGGCCTGCAACTGGTACAGACCAGCTTAATGCTGTTATGGAAAAAAATGAGACATACATCTTTGCAGTTTTCGGATTTGGAGAAGTGAATCAGGTCATCATTGTACATGTCCTGGGTATTGAGCAAGTCACTATATTCCTTCTGGCTAAGGTCTTCTGGGTTGATTCCGTTTGCCCTCAGAAATTCCTGGTAGGCCACACTAAAAGCTTGACCTATGGACTGTGCAATCAGCTGTGCCTGTAGCAGTTCCCAGAGAAGAGAAAACAAAAAAGTGAAACATTCTGATGGTCTTGTCCAGTGACACTTTCTCATTTTCACACTGTAAAATGGATCATCAAGTCAACGAACCTATGAGTCAAGTTACTACAGTCCAGTTTTTAAAATATTTGTGCATTAAAGATTAATTTAAAAGACCCACAAAATGTCCACTCATTCACCTGTGCCATGAATCCATCTTTGGAAAGCAATTATAAATGAGAAATATAAATAAAGCCATCCTTTCACACGTAAGAACTAATATAAATGTAAAGGTATACCCACTGCAGTGACTGTAGCTCACAGCTACAATTCCTCCCACACATGCAGCTCCCAGATAGCTCTCCTTTCCAGCAGAGGCAACGCCATTCCCTGAGAAGCCAGCAGTGAAAAGGAAAATGTCTTCTAGAAAACACACAACCACATTTAAGAGGCTATTTCCTCCTTTTCTAACCCTCCTTTAAAACCATCACGTCCACACTAGCTGCTCCTACCTCAGCCTCAGATGAAAGAGGAAAAGGGGAGCAACTAGTGACCAGATCCAGTGGCCTTGAAGTGACTGGAAATGGTCACACACCCTGCTACCTTCTTCAACCTCTCTCCTCTAGATTTCTTGTTTCCCTCCCTCCAGCTCCCATGACTCTGCCAGTTCCTTGCCCCTTTTCTTCTCAGCCTGTCCTTTTTGCACGCACTCTCTTGCACCTGCAGCTTCCCATAGCCTTCTTTGCACCTAAAGCCACCAAACGTGCCACTCACTACACTGCATTGCTCCTATCGTGAGCTGTTCTACATGTGCAGCAGTGGGAGAGAAATTGGGCACAAGGCAGACACAGGGAAAGCTCTGTGTCATGCAAGCGTGAGGGATGCAGCTGAAAACAGCAGACCCAGAGGGATGCCTTCCTTTGAGGTAGTGACCATGGTTGGTATGAGACAGGTGATGGACAGGAGAGGAAAGCAGCACAGCATGGTGCAGAGTACTGCTGTGCAAAGCCGGAGCAATACGTGCAGTAAGTGCTGTGTAGTGCGCAGCAGCTGGCCACGATGTGTACTGAAACAGTTGCTTGGAGCACAGTGCTGGCTGTGGCAAAGGGAGGGAAGAAAAGACGAGTGCTCCACAGCTGACAAGGTAGGCCTGGGTGATGAATGAAGACTGCTGAGATTATTGTTATACAGCCTACCAGCTGTATTTAAAGTCCAGTTTGGTCCATAATAAGGGAAAGGTTCCCAACCTTGAAATAAAAAGCTGATTGTATCTTAAAGCAACTCAAACTAGTGCTAAACCTGCTGATGAGAATAGCATGACTGCTGTTGTTGAAAAGGCCAATATCTAGACTGGCAGTTTTTTACCAATGCTCAGATCAACCCAGTTTTGACAGCAAGAAAACAGGAAAACTACAGCTCCATAGCTCAGTAACCTAGGTGAGGAGATAAATGCAGACTTTACATTCATACACATGAATCTTCTCTCCAAGAAGAGATCAGCTCCCAGCATTTGGACACAACACTAGGGTTCAGCTCATTTGAAGATCCAGCTCCAAACATAGTTGAAAATCTGGTGCTCTCCACCTTAGAAAAGGACCATTCCAAGCAGACACACATTCTGGCCAACACCCGCTTCAGGGCTTACAGTTTCTGTGTCAGTTACTGAGTAAATTCTTCTAAACACCCAGCTGTCCCAGAAGAAGAAAAGGCAATGATGATACATATATGAGTTTTATAATAGAAACAGGCTGTAGTGCTGCACTGGACGTACAAAAATCTTTGAAGCTGCCATCTCCTTGCTGCTAATGGTGCTACAATGTTTCCATTCTAACTATTTCTTAGTCTTTTGGGTATTTGACATAAATTTTGCAAACTATTTGTGAACTATACTATGACTAAGGAGAGCTGATACAATCTCCTGCAATTTCTCAGCATATTTTCACATTACAGAGCAATGCTTTTACTGGATCTACAGACATGTACTTTCCAGGCCAGTATCTAGTGGCATAGGAAGGGTGACATCTGACTCAAATATGGGTGGAACCAAATAAACCACAGAAACTAATGTGAGTGATCCCCTAAAATAAGCATAGATTCCAGCTAGCCAAAGTATTAACAGCAGCCTGGTAAACATCCAGGAAGTCTGGATCATAGTCAGGCCACTGCATGCTGAAGGTAAATAATCCCCAGCCTCTGGCATCTGACAGTTTGATTTTCTTTTTCAACTCGCCAATAAGACAGCTAGCAGTGTCCACACTTACGGCTAGAAATACAGGAACAGCAGCCTCAAAGCAGGCAGCAGATCAAGTGATATTAAGCCAAAAAAACCCATTGGGTAATCTTTTTCTTTTCACATCAGTTTCTTGAAAGGCTTTGCGAAACTGGCATACATGTTATTTTAGGTAAAAAAAAAAAAATCCACATTTTTTGTATGCTCTCTGTCAAAATTTGGGTAGAGGATTACGTCTATCAGTGCTCTTGCGTTTACTTTTTAACCTCAGCAGTGGGTCGTACATGTACATTCATCTGCAACCAGGTAATTTATCCACACATGAGTTTAGAACAGATTCATCATTACATAAAATTCAAGAAAACCTTTCCATCTCAAAGTCCTTGCTGATACACTGTAGAGTGGAAGACATATGACGATTTTATAAGAAAATTATATTTTCACCTTACTTCTCTCAAGTAATACTCTGCTATTTGGAGGGCTTAGAACTGAGGTTTTTTTATTTTCCAATATTATTAGGGCTGACTCGATTATGATCCTAACTACATAGCTAGCCACTTCCATCTGATATATTTGATTTTACCTTTCAGTTACTGAGCTTTAAAAAGTGCATAAAATCGGTAAGTCATGCACACTGATTGTAAAGACAGGATATCAAGTCAACTTAGTAACCTGCACCATAGACTAAAATTTACTCAGCTGTGTCTCTGTTCAGCATGCTTTGGGATGTTGGAATTACTAACTTTCTTTTCTGTTTTTTTGATATGATGTCAACAACTACTCCCCAACACAAGTGTCCTCAACCTCAAAAAAACCCAAACAATTAAAAATCACCTTTACCAATGTATCCTTGATGCAATACAAGGGATTAGAGTTTCCCTAGGAAAATAAAATAAGCATCTCTAATAGACTCTCACATTCAGAATCTGAGCTGGTATTTGTAAGCTGCGGCAACTGGATCCTCCTCTCATTGTTACTGGAAGGCACTGAAGGAACTTAAAAATGGGAAGCTTTTCTGTAAACATCGATTTTGTGAGTAAAATGTCAGATCCGAACATGCAAACAGAAGGCAAGTTCCTCTGCTTAGATGAAATATTTGGTTGCAGCTAATGACCAAATAGGACCACTTGCAATGTAATTCAAGCCCACCAAATCTGTTTATGTTTCTATCTCTAGAAAATTACAAGACAGTAATTCCTTACATCCTCAGACTCAAAGACATGGCAAATCATTTTGTATTGCCTCTTTCCGTCTTGGGAAGGGTGAGATGCTTCCACATTATCCTGGGAGTTAGATCGTGGCATTCGCCTACGAGCCATCAAAACAACTATATTTCCTATATCTGCAATGTAAGAAATGGTCCGGAGGGGATGATCCATCATGGTTTCCTGGGGAACAGAAAAAACAACATGAGCAGCTGTTTAAATGAAGTTCTTATTGCACACCTAATACTATGAAAACAAACAAATGGCAATATAAGACCTTTGTTAAGTGAAGTCTGTAATAGCTATCATGCGTGCAGATGCCAATAGAAAACAAGAGCTTCACTTTCCAAAAGTTAATTTCTAAAACTTGCTTTTTGCTTTAAGTCATGTTTTCTGTGGAAAAGCACAAAGACTTCAGTATCAGAACTCAAATATGCTGGTCGTGTATGTGCAAAGGACTACAAACTTCAAATCACCACAACCAAACATTTTGGGCTACTCTGGGCACAATCAATACTTAGAATCATAGAATCACAGAATGGTTTGGGTTGGAAGGGACCTTAAAGATCATCTAGTTCCAACCCCCCTGCTGTGGGCAGGGACACCCTCCACTAGACCACGCTGCCCAAAGCCTCATCCAACCTGGTCTTAAACACTTCCAGGGATGGGGCATCCACAGCTTCTCTGGGCAACCTGTTCCAGTGTCTCACCACTCTAACAGTAAAGAATTTCTTTCTAACATCTAATCTAAATCGACCCTCCTTCAGCTTAAACCCATTACCCCTTGTCCTGTCACTACACTCCCTCATAAACAGTCCCTCACCATCTTTTCTGTAGGCGCCCTTCAGGTACTGGTAAGCGGCAATTAGATCTTGACGCATCATGGCTCATATGAAATGAGCTTACCTGCAAAATCATTTCTATAGTCAGACACACCAGAGTAATTGCACGTACGACACGGTTCCTGAGCATGGATTTCTTACTAGGAAATCCTGGATGGAAATACAAGAGCCAGCACTTTTTGAAGGACAAATTTTGGCAGGTAGGCAAAAGTCTATTTCGGTAGCCTATTAACACAACACTGACAAAGGTCTCTTTGTCTATACCTGTGTGTCTGCATTCAGTACTTTTATTCTCTGTGTAGAAATGAAAAGGTCCACTTCAGTCATGGGTTGAGATTCACCTTCTGGAGCCTACAAATAGATGGGTTAGAGTCAAAGAAACACATTAGGTAACATACCTACTAACAATGTTAGCTCACAAACAGGGCGTACTAAGACACAGTCACCAGAACAGCAGTGCAAGATACAGAGTATTAGACTGCAGAAGCTAAACACAAAGATATGGAAACTATATATATATATATATGTGAAAGGGAATTGGATCTTATTTGAAAAATTGTTAACCCCATAAAAGCTTCCTCAATATTTTTTCTGATTCAGTAAAATTATACCTGACTGCAACATGAAATATATAATGATTTCATGAAAATCAAAATAATTCTCCCATTTTCTCCACACTATGAATCCCACTTTAAAGGTTTTTCACACAAGCCATAGAAAGGCCTAATAGCATCTCTTGCCTGAGGAATTTCTATATGGGCTAACAGTGACTGCCAAGTCCAATGGAAAAACCTGTACCACAGATGGGTATAGTTTTAGCAATTCATAATGCAGTTCTGGTAAGAAGGCCTTGACAGTCAGAAAACACACTATGCAAGCACTAACCCACTTTAGAAGTCATATTTTGTTAACGGAAAGTAAATGCTTGTAATTTTTTAAAAAATTAGACTTGTTAAAAGATACTTAAAAACTCCATAAACAAAAGTTATTACTAAGATGAGTCAATCTCAGCATATTACTGTGTGTATATACATATTTTTTTCTTTTTTGCATCCAGCAATTTGACATATCTGTGAATCAAACAAAGCACTCATAGAAAGATAAAATAAAAAAAAAGGACTTATTTTTAATCTATCATTTCACAGAGTCAAAGCCTTTGCCATGTCAGTCCTGTTTCTTTAGTATGCATTTTGGATACTGCCTGTAACCATTTGATAAATCCAATCTTTACTCTATTTCTAACATGAAATGGCTAATGATAAGCAACAAAAAATGGCCAATCAGGCAACTGATTTCTGAGAAATGTCAACTTGTATGGTGGCTCTGAAATAAATCTTAAAAAGAAGCTTGCTGGATGCAGAAAATAAAAAGACAAAACAAAAAGAAAGGCAAAAAACCCTCCCAGAAAAACAAAAGAACAGGCATAACATCAAGCTGATGGAGTTTGTACTGCACCTTCTTCCTGCTTTTGGCTAATTTCTGGGCCATCTGCTTAGCATGGAACAAAGAGACAGGAGAACAGTTAGAGAAGAACTTACAGAGACTCCAAGTCAAGCAGGAATCTGCATGCTAATGCCAGGGGTCACAAAGTACTAGCTGTTCTAAATTAGTCCCTGCTTAGATTAATTTCCTCCTTTTCTTTTTGGCTTAAAAAAAAATAAAAAAAAAATGTTTAGCACAGTTACTTTAAAAATGAAAAGAAACTGCACCAAGAAAGTCAGGAAGAACACAAAAGGATTTTTTTTCCCCCATTTAAAACTTTACTTGCAACAAACAAGGGGGGGGTTTGCGGGTTTTTTCCTTGTTTGTTGATTTTTTTTTTAAAGGAGAAAAATGGAGCTTCCCCTCATTTACAACAGTGTAAAAAACCATGAGGTTACTTCTTTTGAAGCAACAGCAGTGTAACAGGAGAGACAAGAATCTTAACCATTATTATACCAGCTTTTTCAGATCTAAAGACTTTAGATTCAAGTTTTGTAATGCTCTCAAACTTAAACAGTCTTCAAAAAACAGCCTCCCTAAAACTATGCTACTTTTTCCTGGAAAAACAAAATGACAGAAGATAATTTTCACCTCCATTTTCTCCTCCTTCTGTGCAAATATACCCATACCAAAGTCATACCCATACCGCATATCTGGACAACAAGTTTTCCTGTAACATCTGCACAAAAATATGTCCATACTACTACATTTTTTCAAGAAGGCAGTGGAGAATGTACTTCAGTTCCACAAACATCTGAAAACAGGTCTCTTGTCACTAAGTAGTTTAACTGATTCACATTCAGAGATATATCAATCCATTATAATAAACTGATTCCTTATGTGCTACTATTGTGCCAATAATAATGACACAAATAAGCATCTTTCTTACAGTCTTGCAATCATTAATTCAAACCAAGGTGTACTGAACTTACAGACCTGCTTACTACAGAAACACAATACTCACCAGGCTAGCAGATATCCTTTTACTTCCAATAGTAACAGCCTCTTATCTAATTAAAATAATAGGTGTTCTTGTGGTGGGAAGGAGGATTACTATTACAGGCTTCATAGACATTCATGGCTAACTATTTTTATGAAGAACAAACAGGAGGCCTGAATCACAAGGCACATCAAAGGTTTTATATTAATACTTACAACTTAAATCTGTCAGGTTTCATCTACACAAATCTGAAAGCAGCTACTTTAGACAGTGCTGCCCATTTACAAATATAAACATTCTCACACCAGGTTTTAGTCACTTTTTTCAAACTGAGAAATATTTAATAGATTGGTGATTGAAAACTATTGCAAAAGCAATTAGAATTGCTTTACATTGCAGGATCCTCATTGCATTAATATCAATTTGCATTGGTACTCAGAAATAATATACTCATCTTGAATAACAGCTGCCTGCCATAAAGTGGGCAAGGGGGAGACACTCATGAGATAAAGCATTTAAATTGCTTTCCAAAATTAAACTCCTCTTCAGACAATTTCCTCCCCTCCCCGAACTCTACAGAGTGATGGACCTCACAAAAGAAGAAAAGCACAGGCCAAAAAGAAGAAAAGTGTGTGTGTGGGGGGGAATCTTTGAGCTAGAGGTTTAAAATGCAGAATCAAAATTAATCCAAAATACACTACCATTCAATGTATTGAAAATTCTGCTCTTGCAATAGAAGCATCTGGTCATAGTGGTATTTTAATTTCTTGAAGAATGTCTTTCAAATATTTCATAATACTAAGGCAATGATATGGAACAACCAATTTTAATAAGTGAATTAACACTGCATAGAAATGTCACAAAAGAAATTATGGTCCATGGAAAAAAAAAAGGATAATTCTATGCAAGACACTTTATCAGTCAAATTCTCTTTATCATTGTGTTATTTTGCTAATTTAGATCAAAAGATTCTTTCTATATTCTTAGAAAAAACAGAAACAACTTAATGTAAGCAATTTTTTTTTTTTTTTAAATATACAGAGTCCAGGCTTTTCATTTAAGGAAAATGAAATGTAACTATGTATCTAGTAGCAATTTCCAAAGTTAAAAATTGTTAAAAACCAGCATGCTTCCACTTTTGCTACAGGGATGTCTTAAATATACTCAACCCATTTAACCTCTAAAAAAAAAAAAAAAGGTAGTGCAACTCAGTGAACACCCAGATGACACTGAGTAAACAAAATGTGCACAATATTAAACTATTTCCACACATGGGTTCAATCTTAAATTACATTCAATAATTAAATCAGTTGTTATCTAAAAATGTTCAAACCTGTCGCACAGCTCAAATCTGCTGATGAAAACTAAAAATGAAAGTTGTCAGTTTACATGTGAGATGTAACAGCACAGATCAGCTATGAATTGTAACCATGAACACATTGATTTTTTTTTTACTGTTACAAGTCTTATGGATTCACTCCAAGTAAAATGTTAAAAGATATTTCTTATGCTATCTGACAAAAATAAGACTACAGTCTGAAAATGGTGAAATATCTTTTCTATTATTAAAAGTACCTCCTAGTAGAAATATGAAATAACTACATTTGACCAATGCCTTCAAAGCAGTGTATTTGTTTTAACTTAGTTGGACTTCACAGAGATGAACTCCCAGGCTATCTTACGCTGTGATGAATCTGGCAGCAGGAACTCCATCTGTCATAATGAATTTCTCACTAAAAAAAGTTTAGCTTTAATGGCAGTCAGGAACAAAACCAGCCAAACCCAACCCTAATAAACCAAAGACCCTAAGGTACAGGGAGGTGTATTTACATTGCCTGAGCTTCATCGAGAAGCATAAAAGCAGTAACTGTCACAGTAAGCCAACAATTTTCTGAAATACAGTTTCGGCAAATTACATGCACAAGCTAGGATTTTTGCCAAGTCAACAATGGAACTACTTGGGCCTCCATCCTGAGACAAATTTACTACAACCAGGAATACGCATGCCTGCTGATTTATATGGATGTATAAATTATGGGGTGTATAAGTGAAATGAGCTAAATAGATTTCTTTTGCTTTGAGGCATAGCAGTGCTGACACATAACAGAATCCTCAGAAAGAACTTTAAAGCTTTTAATGAATTGCTAAGAAATAAATTTCGTATCAGAGAGTGATTGTACACTCTTATACCTCACAGATCTGCTTTGAATCAATTCTGTTCCAATTTTCTCTAACACAACCCTTCAATCTTTGTCTATGGTGTACTCCCACACAAGCTTTACCTCCTAGGTGCAAACTTCCTGCCCAGCTCCAGGTTCAAGTTTTACTCCTGATACCAGTTTCCTATGACAGCTGATGCTAATCTTTCCTTTCAGCCTCCAGTGATGCACCCCTCCTAGACCCAGCCTCACTGAAGCCTTTATTTCTCTCCCTTCTCTATCTTACCATTAGTTTTCTGCACATTCAAATTGGATAACTTTTCTACCGTGCAGCCAAGTGTCAGGAAAGAACACATGGGGACTACTAAACAGACAGGCACAGCCTTACTTGAACCCAGAGCAGGAAAGAAGCAGACTCTGTAAGGAAAAGTCTCCACTGTAGCTTTGGGAAGAACCCACCAAGACCTGCCAGGGTTGAGAAAGCCGAGTGAAAAATCTTTTTTAAAAATGTCACTGAATCCAGAGTCTGCAATAAACACAGATAAATCATTCTTTTTTCAAAAGGCTCAGTAGTTGCTTACATTTGGGGAAACTTCTACAGAGATGCCAGAAGATAACTTATTTGTAACAGGAAGACTACATCCCTGCCTCCTCTAAAATGCTAGAGCGTTAGTGATTTTCAGAGATGAGGTTACAAGAATTTATGTATTTGAACACCAGCAAAATTACAATTTCTGGAAGTGTCTCAATGATTCTAGTTGGAGCTTCTCTGTGAAAGTTTCATACACAGACCGAACGGAACACCTGGTATGAAAAACATTAGAAGGAATAATAACAGTAGGAAGCATCAGCCGACCTTAATAGACAGTGCTATTGGCTTTGCTGTTAACATGCTGTCTCTTCCTCTCTCTTTTATACAATTGCACACAGAGTCTGAGTTGGAATCCAAAATAAACTACACAAAAGAAGAATACACAAATACTAAACTAAGGAAAACTTTCAGATGAGATTCTATTGGTTAGCTGAATTAGCGGAAGATGAAGCTGTGTGCCTACCACCCAGTCATGTATGGGTAGCAGGAATATTGCAGCATACTCTACAACCCATTCATACTTCATTCACACACCTTAATTTCAGTTGACAATGTCATTATTGTAACTTATAATACAGTAGCATGCCCATTGCTTGTCGAGCCCATACAGAAATTGGTGGGCATTTCTGTTTTCCAAACATATCAGAGTCCAGGATAAATAATTTTTTTTCCATACATCTCTGTACCATCACAGGCTTTACTTTTTAAATCAACTCATAGCTGTCACATGGTGGAGAAACATCCACAGCAGGGTCAGAAATAACCGCAGACATTACCACAGCACCAGTTCTGTCAAGTGCCAAGCCAGAAGTAGCTGCAGTACTTACTAGTTACACACTACACCTGTTTTCCCTCCACACATAGGCAATACATAACTTAGAGCACCACTCACTTCAGATTCTGGCTTAGAGTACATGGCACAAGTATTGCTATAGAAAATTAAAATGATTTGGTAACTTTTCCTTATCAGTCTTGTTCCAAAAGGAGCATTAAAAATGCGATTTCCTCTGCAGAAAGACGAGGCATTTAACCTTTCTGAAACCACAGATAACACCACATGAAAAAACTACTGCATGTGTAAGAAGTTAATATCCACAACCTTAAGGCACCTGTATGAGAAGCAGTAGGAATTACTCCTCACCTTGATCCTGCTGACAGCTTCCTGAGCTTGCATCATTCTCACATTCTTGGAGGGAGTTTTATCAGAAAGGAGTTGAGTTGAGCCAAGGTAATTGGCAGCAAAAATTATTCCATCAATTAAGTCTTCAGGATCGCAAGGTCCAGGAACTGTAACACAGGAAAGCAATCACTGAAGAAAATCATGCTGAACCATGGCAAAACAGCAGCAGTCTGACAACTTGAGCCTGGACCTGATGGCTGCAAATCCTCCTCTGAAATACTTCAGTTTAGCATAATGATATGGCAACGAGTACTTTCATAGGTACAAAACACCAAGCAAATGCTCTCAATATCTCTCCAGCAAAAGCTGTAATTGCTAATCCAGCCTGTCTCTCACAATAGCTCATTCTTTTGCGAGCAGGGATAACCCTGGAGCAAAATGATTTCCTGAGTTTTCACTGTTATAAAGGGAGAGACACAGTTACTCAGCTTGCCCCTCACCCACAAAAACCAGCCTCACAATTTTAACACCAACAGTCACAAACAGAAAGAAAAGGGTGTGATTTAGTAACAGCCATCTGCCGCTGGCTCAGTTGTGTGCAGCTGCAGTTAGCACAGCAGGCAGAGGAACCTCCCCAGGAATGCTTTACAGGTACAACACGTGAAGATTGATTGCCCAATTAAGCAAAGTACTTTTATACCACAGACCTTAAAAAATCATTCTCAGTCTCAGGGATGATACTGAGGTAAAGTACAGACTTTAAAAATGTTGATAAATACACAGAGCATGGGCTCTCCTGATAGCAAAACAACTCTCTCAGACGAGAGATTCTTAAGGACGTGACTCCCATCAACTTCTGTGGAAAGTTAAAAGGTGGTGAAGTGTTTGTGCCTAACAATGCAAATCCTTTCAAAGCAGCATTTATGATCTGTAAGTGTTTTGGTGTTTGGTAATTATATCTAAAAATTGTATAGGTAAAAACCTTCTATTTTAACACCTTGCTACACGTTAAAATTGTCATGATCCGAAAGGGAGGCTAGTTAACCTAAGAAGCTTCTTATTTTCTTACAAGTAAGGAAAAACAATTGATGTTCAAAAACAAGAAAATGCAAATCATCCTAAAGAACACTAATGGTAAAAGCATTCGCATTTTATCACAAAAAATCTAAACTGTTTATAGGTCTGCCTTTTTTTTCCTCTAAGAACAAAGCAAAAACCGTACAATATCAGAACGGAGTTTTTACTAGTTCAAGGGGTATCTTGAGATATAAGGTGATGGAGCTTAAAGTTTAAAATTACTCAGAATGCCAATTTTGTTCTAATTATAACAGAAGAGATTAACAACCACTCAGAATGAGCATGGGTAACGTCAGCCTCCAAAAAATGCAAGTCGTTATTAAGATTAAAATAACAGAAGAAAGAGCTGTAGACAAGTATCACACTGAAGCTATACACACAGAGAGAAGTAGATGTGTAAATCTTATGAGCAAGCTTGTCTCCTTTATGGTTTCTTTAAATATCAAAATTTACAACTAGAAATTTTAAGATGCGCACCTCCAGTGTGCAGAATTTGTTCAGATACTATGATCTGGAAAACTCTCAAAATGAACAAGTCCCTTTCAAGTACACGCCCCAAAGAAATGGAATGTTTCCTTAGGAAAATTTATGCATGTGGAAGTACTAGATATTTACGCATTCTTCCAGTCCTGAAACCATACAGCATTTTAAGTGTTGCTACTTGTTACTCTACATGTTAAGGCCATCTCACCACTTCACAGGGTACAAAACCCTTTACAGTACAATTTCTGATCAAAACACAAAAATCATAAAAATAGCCCGACAAAGGTATAGATAAGAGTCCCAGAAGGAAGCATATTAAAACCTAAAAAGGTATGTGCTCTATTTTCATCAGAGGTGAGTACACAGACAGCACCACTTTTAGAAGACTGTCCATTTATTACCTCTGACAATTGAATTATTATCTGAACTAAAATGTAGCATAGGTGCTAACAAGTTTTTCTTGCATTGCTAGAGGCTAAAAATGGAAAATTTGTTTTTCTAAGGAGTTTTGCACTGGACCAAGATCTAAGAAAATTTTAGTTTACAATTTTTTAATTTTTTTTTTTAAGGAGGGGAGGATTATTTAAGATTGCCCTTAATAGGGCTACCACTAGGAGAAGAATTTCAATTCTAAGAGAGATCCTTCACTGCTCCAAAATTCCAAAGCTCATCTAGTTTCAAAACAATATATAAAATTTCTATTAGTTAACATTCTGGCAACAGACTCCATAATATGCAGCTCATACACTGAAGACTAAACCAATGATCAATTTGTAGTCTAAAGAGAATGATCACATAACTGTTTAAACATAGCACACTGTAAAGCAATCCAAGAAGTTCCAAGATAGTCCAAATGATGTATTACATCAACTGTATTTCTGGCATCTAATCAAGCATATGGAACAACTACTGTCAGAGGGGGAAAAAACATACGAAACTTCAACTTTTCTGCTTCTGTCATGCTCTCATAACAAAATAATTGGGTTTCATGGCATTTAGTCTTCCTGCATACACAGGATGCAGACTCATACAAAAGGTAATAGCAGTTCATGCAGCAGGTAACTTGATTTTTCACATTGTTCTGAATAAACTCAGCTCTAGTACAAGCACAAACTTAACTCTAAGACAGGAAGCACTAATTAATTAGAGGACAAGTAGCTGTAAAGCAGTGCAGATTTCCTCTGGTAGGCCTGCCAATTAAAACAATTAATTAAATTCTGCTAATTAATCCAACTGAGATTGGATTGAGCCTGCCAATTGAAATCAGTGCTGGAGAGAGCACTACACTCTTCTTGCCTAACTTATTTTCCTTGTCCACACATATTCAGAGAATCATATAATCATAAAATGGTTTGGGTTGGAAGGGACCTTGAAGATCAGCTAGTTCCAACCCCACTGCTGCGGGCAGGGACACCCTCCACTAGACCATGTTGCCCAAAGCCTCATCCAACTTGGCCTTGAACACTTCCAGAGATGGGGCATCCACAGCTTCTCTGGGCAACCTGTTCCAGTGTCTCACCACTCTAACAGTAAAGAATTTCTTTCTAACATCTAATCTAAATCAACCCTCCTTCAGCTTAAACCCATTACCCCTTGTCCTGTCACTACACTCCCTGATAAACAGTCCCTCACCAGCTTTCCTGTAGGCCCCTTCAGGTACTGGAAGGCTGCAATCAGATCTCCCCAGAGCCGCCTTTTTGCCAGGCTGAGCAACCCCAACTCTCTCAGCCTGTCCTCATAGGAGAGATGCTCCAGCCCTCCGATCAGCTTCGTGGCCCTAATCTGGACTCTCTCCAACAGCTCCGTGCCTCTCCTGCACTGGGGCCCCCAGAGCTGGACGCAGTACTCCAGGTGGGGTCTCACAAGAGTGGAATAGAGGGGCAGGATCACCTCCCTCAACTGCTGGTCACACAGTTGGCCAGCTGGACACAGTCGGCTTTCAAGGGCTGCAAGCGCACACTGCCGGCTCATGT